CTTATCTCTCTTCTTGCTGCTATTGTTTGATAGTGCCACTTAAACAGGTCTTTCCACAAGGTTACTCAAATTAAACATTAGCTAGCTCAAAAAAGTAGCTACAGAAAACTACTGACAGTATCTAGCAAGATAAACATCCTCTTGCTAAACTTTTGAGATTTCTTTATTTCTACCTTGATTTTCTCAGGGGAGTGTTGTTTAAAGACCACCTGACTTGCTTTCTATTGTGTACTCAGATATTAGGCCTTCTGGTGCCAACCAGACCATGTGGCATTGGTAATTGACTAGATTTCACCTCATTTGGTTGATAGCAAATTTAACATCTATATGTTCTTTGCCAAGGCTCAAGAGATGGAAACTCTACATTTAGAGATTCATTTCTTTGAATTAAACAATAGCAAATATTAAAGAAACAATTTCTCCTTTTATCTATGGTTCTCTAGGAAAGGCAAAACAAACAAACCCAAACCAAAAACAGTAACAAAAAACAACTTCTTAGCTAACATCTAAGTGAGAATCAGTTTATCATAGATGGTCCTCTTATAGAAAATGCAGATAAGCTGAGAGCCCTCCATGCACAAATGGAGGGGTGCCGGATACTACAGAAAGAAGATCAAGCCTCAAAAACAAAAGTTACAAGTCGGAGGTATCACAGGTAAACTTTCCATATTTAATCAAGGGCAAACCCTGAGTCACAAGCTCTGTCTTAGGGCAAGAATGCTTTCTTCTCTGATTTTGTGGTTAGTGGACAGAGTCTTTATGTTCAGACATGCCTCTGAGGAATTCCTGGTGTCTCCACTATTACTCATGAAATCGGGACAATATTGAAATTCATTGAGTTCAGTGTTACTATCTATGAAAAGTTCATAATAACATGTAACTTTTAATAGTGCTGTTGGGACAATCAGATGAAATAATGTTCCTAAAGTGTTTGGCTTGAATAGAGCCTGCATACATACCAGTCCACATCCAGCACAGAAATCTCCCTTGGCTTCCTATACCTCTTCAGTTTTTTGCTGTTCTCCTCCCTCAGCAGCACATGAAAAAGGGATCTGTCATTTTGGCAGGGCATGATGAAAACTATGTTAGAGTTGCCTGAGAACTCGTAGCTCAACAGTTGGCTCTACCTATTTTCTCTCCCTGTTTCTTTCCTCTACGTCCCCAAAGAAAAAAGGAAGTGTGTGGCTGGGCTTTGAAGAAACAGGACTGGTAGTTTCTAACATCAGCACTATTAACATCAAAAAGCCACTGGGAATTCCACATCCTATTTTCTATGATATACATGTACAGATAGCCAAAGACCTTTAGAAAACACCAGAAGAAAACCAGGTGAACTTAAATTTTACTTTATTATATACTATAGTACATAATAATAGTATTATTAAATATAATATACTATATTATTATTCTATAGAATATAATGTATAGAACAGTATGAGACAATTGCATAACATATAGAATAATATAGTATATAGAATAATGTAGATAAGCTGAGAATAATTTATTAAATATTACAGAATAGTATTATATGATAATGCTATACTATTATTTAATACTTTATTAAATAGCATGCATATATATATGTGTGTGTGTGTGTATATATATATATAACTGCATATACCTCTAGAATGCAGGGGAAGGTGCTTTTTACAATTAGGTGGCAGAAAATGTGGGAGACAATGAAGAATCCTTAGTGACAACCTGTGCACGGTTCCTGGGAAGTCAGTCTATGTAATGTGGAATTCAGGTGAAATAAGCGTGTATTGGGGTGTGTGTGTGTGTGTGTGTGTGTATGTGTATAAATAAGGGCAAATAGAAGGAAGAAGACAGAAGCAAGAAGAAAGCAAATTTTGAAGGCTTCAGTTGCACAGGATCAGTCAATGTGCCTTCTGAAACCCTCTAGGTTGGATTGCTTAGATGAGAGCAAGACTATTTTCTTTTGATCTTTCAGTCACTGCCTTTGTAAGTATAAAATAATAATACCGATCTGGGGAAGAGGATAATGGTTTCTCAGTCAAAATGTTATTTGTCATTGGAATTTATTTCCTTGTTGCTTGATTTTTACATCACTGTCCCAGGTCTTCAATATTCATCAGGTCCAAGGAAGTCGTTGGGACATGCATGAAAGGGATCTTCTGCCAGGACTCATGCACCACCTCCCTGCCCCTCCTGCTTTCTACCCTTGATATAAAATAATACTTTTGATTTTTACTCCCTGACAAGATTATGAATTAGTATGCCTCTGTCTCCCGAAGCTTGTCCTCGTGATATAACATAGGAGAGAAGTGTTAGATACACAAAAGCAACACAATGTCAACAATCTTGGAGAGATAGGAAGCAGTATTAACCAAAAAAAGGACCATATGGAGATTACTGTGGGGGGAATCTCCATTGTCATCTGCATTGAGAGGACAAGACACAGGAGAGCTTCTGTGAATTACAGGAGCAATAACAGCAAGGAGACATCATCAGAGTGACAGGGTGGATACTAGAAGAAAAGAGAGGACCCAGCAGTTATAAAATTGACTCAAGAGGCACACAGGAAATAAAAATATGATTAAAATTAAAAATTCAATAGAAAGGATAAATAGCAAAGTGTATCCAGCTAAAATATAGTGCCGACCTAGAGTATGGGGTTTGGGTGCTACCACAAGACAGCAGGAAGGAATAGAGAGATAGAAATTTTTTTTTTAAGTTAAGAGATATAAGGAAGAGAACTGTAAGTTTTCACGTTTTTATGACAAGCTTTTTTTTAAAGGAAAGAGAGGACATAAATGGAGGTGAAAATATATTTTATGAAATAAGAGGTGAGAGTTAATTAAATTGGAGGATAATGAAATACCTCAGATTGAAAAATATTATAGTGTGCTGAAAAATTAGATAAGGAAAATCCACAATAGACAACTTATGGTGAATGATAAGAATAAAAATGGCAATAATAATATATTAAAATTTTTCAGAAAAAAAAAGATCATTTAATATTTAGCTTCTCCACAGTAATACAAGGAAAACTAAAGGGGCAATATTTTCAAAGTGTTAAACAAAATTAAACTTAAATTTTTTAATAAGATAAATTTTAAAAATAAAGCTATTTTCAGTTCTCATGAGGTTTACCCTATACAACCCTCTTCGAGAATATTCTTGGGGAAAGTACTCAGGCAAGAAGAGAAATGATTTCTAGCAGAAACACACAGACACAGACATGCACACACATGAAATGTGCACGAAATAAGTACATGAAATTAGGAATGAGTAAATAATTCTGTCAAGTTTATTGTCTAAAGAAGCAAAGACAGTATATATTGCCTAGAGAAGTGAAGATGATACATATCTGAGGCTACTGAGGTATCTTCAATTACTATATGGGTATAGGGGAAGAGACAGTAACTAATAAATTTAAAATGATATTTTAATATACACTTATAAGTTAAACATAATTAATCGAAGGCTAAAAATAGAGCATATATCAAGAAGAAATCATAGAGGAGATAAACACATAATAGATTTAGCATTGAATGACAATGCACATGCATTTCTAAGAGGGAAATTAATAAGCATTCAATTTAAAAAGTTGGACAAAGCAAACAGAAGAAGAAAACCAATGAAGCAAGCGGGGAGCCAATCATAATTAAAGAATATATGAGCATGCAATCCCCAGGGGCAGAAATTTTAGTCTGCTTTGTCCATTGCTAAATCTGGGTGCCTAGAACAGTGCCAAGCAAATGGCAGGTGGCTCAATCAATATTTAATAAGTAAATGAATAAGTAAATCCAATAATATGTAAAGAATATTAGCAAAAAATGTATTTTTAAAGGATTCATATGGTAAAGATATCTTTGGCAAGACATATAGAACAAAATAAAAGAATATAAAATCAATATGATACAGAAAAATGTAATGAATATATGTACAGAAAGGGTTTAAAAATTATACAAATTTTATTATAGCAGCTATACAGGAATACATTTGAATATATTTGAAATCTAGAAAGAAGAGAGACAATTGTATAAAAATATAAAAGGCCAAAATTGGAGCAAGAAGAGTAAAAACCCCAAATAGACCAATAATCATTAGATAAATTGAAATGGTAATTTCAGGCTTTCCTCAAACGATGCCTCAAGTCCAAATAGCTTCATAGCTGAGTTCTTCCATACTTCCAAGGGATAGATGGTTCCTAACTTATAAAAGACTTTTTAGAAAACTAAAAAAAAAGGTTTTAGAAAACTAAAGTTTTGATGAGGCTAATATGTATTGAAGAAAGAAAATGCAAAATAAGACATTTATAGATTCCTGTTATCTATCACCACATGTAAGACTAATCATATAACTATATTTTGTAGTTTGTAGTGTGCATTTTGTTTTAAATTTAAAACTAAATTGTATTGTATATATTTATGGTATACTAGGGGGCACACATAGGTAGTAAAATGGTTACTATAGTGAAGCAAATTAACACATCCATCATCTCAAATGTTTACCCCACCCCCTTGTTTTTTGTTGTCAAGAGCAGCTAAAAGCCACCCATTTTGCAAAAATTCTAAATACTGTACAATATTATTACCTATAGCCCTCATGTTGTACATTAGGTCTCTAGACTTATTCATCTTACACATCTACTATTTTGTATCCTCTGATTTACATCTTTTCATTGTTGTATTCTCTGTCTTTGTATATTTGACTCTTTAAAGAAATGATTCCACAAAGATTTGTGATCATATAGTATTTTTCTCTTTGTGTCTGGCTTAATTCACTTAGCATAATGTCCTCCAAGTCCATCCATGTTTTAGCAAATGATAGGATTTCCTTTTCTATTATTATTTTTTAGACAAACAGCTTTATTTGAAAGGGGGAACAGCCGAGTCCCCCCGACCCCGCGGTCCTAACGACGTCAGTCTCAGGCGTGGGAGGACCAGTGTCCTGAGGAGAGAAGACAGGGTTAGGGGTCGGTAGCCGGGGTCAGGAGTCAGGGGCCAGACCGTGCGAGCTACCGCACCCGCTGCGCCTGTCTGGGCCTGGGTTTTGCCGCCGCACGTGGAGCAGCGCGCAGTGAGGCTCTGGGCGCCGAATCTCACCCGTGGCCACGGCCAAAGCCGAGGGTGTTTTTCAACCAACGCCGGGGATTTCCTTTTCTAAAGCTGAATAATATTCAGTTGTGTGTGTGTGTATGTTATAGTTTTTGATTTATTTATCTGCCAAATAATTATTGCAATCCATGTAACTGTTTTAATTGCTGCAAAAGATTCATTTACTAAATTTCAATGTAATTTTTGGTATAAACTCAGAAAATCAGTGGTAGAATGAAACTTCCCTAACTTAATAAAGATCATATAATTAAAACTTACAACAATTTCATATTTAATAAAAAAAATTTAAACCACATTGCTTCAGGTTTGTGAATCAGATAATGTCTTTTATAATCACTCTTGTTTAACATAGTACTGAATTTCCTGACTAATGCTACAAGAAAAAAGAAGAAATAAGAAATGTAAAGATTAGAAGAGGACAAATACAATTTAGGATTCGAGTAAGATGGTCATCTATATAGGAAATCCAGCATACTCCCAAGATGAAATATTAGACTTAGTTGAATAATTAGGCTATCTGATATAAAATCAATTTATAAAAATCAATAGTGTCCCTTTACCAACAATAATTATCTAGAAAATAGTATAAAACATATAACATTCAAATAGCAATAAAAATCTATATTCCCAGAAATATAGATTTTTATATGTATATATTTCCAGAAAAAGAAATCTGACAAAGATTGCAAAACACTTTTACAACAGAAGTATTAAGCTTCATTAATTGACCTAAAAACAAATTGAAAACAAATAGAAAGATTGTAATATGTTCCTGGATTATTCAACTTAATTTACAAAGAAGCCAATAGTTTCCAGATTTCATCAATAAACTCAATGTAACCTTAATAAACATCTTAACATTTTGATGAAATTGAAACATTTATTCCAAAGCATAAGGAAAGATGAAAGAGATATAGATAATACTTTTAAAAAGAAAAGTAATGAGAGCATTTCCTCTGGAAAGATATATTGCAAATTCATTGTAAAAAGAAAGAAAGAAAAAAAAACAAAACCATGAAAAACCTGATACCAAAACAAAAGAAATAAAGAGGCAAAAAAATAGGAAAAAGTAAATTAATAAAATAATACTCACTTGCTTAAAGTGATACTCATTTGCATATTATAATTCGATTTAAATCACAGAGGAAGGAAAACTGGCTAAATTTATGGGGGAAAAAATGCTTAATTCCTACCTTACACCATAAAAGAAAGTGCCACTCCATGGATTAAAGGCTTAAATGTGAAAGATAAATCTACACAACTCAAAAAAAAAAAAAATTTTGGAGAAAATCTTTATCACCTAGGAGTGATGAAGAACTTCTTAAACAAGATGGCAAAAGGAAAAACATAAAAGTAAAAATTGGTAATTGTGAATACTTAAAAATTAAGAACATCTGTTTAATGAAGGCTATCATTAATAAAGTTTATCATGGAAAATAGATAATAATAGTAGATATGTTTTTTCCAGTCTACCATAAAAAAAATTACTTGCAAAATCAAAAGTCAACATAAGATTAAAATTCAATATAAAAAGAATTCCTAAAAGTAAATAAAAACGAAGGGGGTAGGAGGTCCATTAAAAAGTCATTAAAAGCTGTGAATAAGGAATTAGAAGAAATGACAGTCAACAAATAACTATTATTAATAATAATACTAACATTTTTACTATTATTATGAAGACTTCTGGCCTGGAGAAGTAGAACACAAATTCAACAGTGTGTGGCCTTGAGAATGGAGTAGAGGTGGGAGTTGACATGAAAGAGTTGTCATCAGAGATATGTGGACCATTTTCAGCCGCTATGTATCTGAAGCTTCAGCCACGTCTCCATGGAGCTATAACTGGATAATAGGAAAACAGCAGATGATAATGAATAACCAAGAAGATGGTCCTTGTGGCCAACTGTGAGACATTTTCTGGGGCTTTTAAAGAAAAGGTTGGTGACAAAATTAGAAGGAATCTTTAGAAAAACTTTAGAAGTATTGCAAATAACCAATGGGAGAAAAACGGAATGAATGTCATCTGGGAGCTGTTATAAAACTGCCTTTTCATACTTTGGGACTAGCCTGGTAAATCAGAGCCTTAAGGATGAAATATCGGAGCCTAGATGCTGGTTCTATAAAGAGGAGTAGATCAAGGTGGCTGTCATCTGAGGACAGAAAACCTTTACTGTCACTCTAATTAAAATAAAAATTATTACTATTCTTCCAAGTGAGCTTAAGTCAGAATACCGAGCAAACAGCTTCATCATGAATAGATAGAAATATTAATGCTTGATGGTGATGACAGTGATGAACCATGGACAAATAAGAAGAGGGCTCGGAGACTTGATGTTACCAAGGAAGTAAATTGCCACTTTAGGAATTAAATTAAATTAATTGATTAATTCCTGCCACTTTGTTAGTAGATATTTTATTCTGATTTAACATGGCTAGTGTTCAGAAGCCTGGTATCTCAGAATTGATGAAGACCTTCAATTCCGTTCAGCCCACCCATCATTGGTAATGTTTATATGTATTTAATCAGATTATATGTCATCACATAAAATGTAAATTTACTCAATTGCTATTTGTTTTTGTAGAAATTTACAAGCTGAGATAAACAACTCATAAGGAAATGTGAGGGATTCAGAATAGCCAAAACAATTTTGAGAATAACAAGGTTAGCAGATTTTCATTTCCCAATTTCAAAACTGACTATAAATCTATCAAGTCAAGATAATGTGGTACTAATATGTAGATAAACATAAATATCAACGGAATAGAAAAAAAGTTGAGAATCCAGAAATAAATCCATGCATTGGGTTGGTTGATTTTTGACAAGAGCACCAAGGTAATTAAATGGGGGAAGAATAGTGTTTTCAACAAATAGTGTGAAGGGATTGGATGTTTACATGCAAAAGAACGAAGTTTAACACCTACCTTACACCGTGTACAAAAATCAACTCAAAATGGATCATTGACCTAAATGTAAAAGCTTAAAACTCATAGAAGAAAACGTTACACTAACTTCATAACTTTGGGTTGGACAGTGATTTCTAAAATATGACACCAAAAGCATGAGTGATTAAAGAAAAAATAAATTGAAAATATTTGTGCTGCAAATGATACCATAATGAAAGTGAAAAGCAAACTGACTGAGAGAAAAATATTTGCAATCATGTATCTGATAAGGGACTTTTGTTCATTATATATAAAGTGTTGTTACAATTCAACAATAAAAAGACAGACTAATTTGAAAATTGGTAAAATATTTGAATATATGGTCGGGCACAGTGGCTCATGCCTGTAATCCCAGAACTTTGGGAGGCCAAGGGGGGCGGATCAGGAGGTCAGGAGATAGAGACCATCCTGGCTAACACGGTGAAACCTGTCTCTACTAAAAATACAAAAAATTACCCAGGCGTGGTGGCAGGTGCCTGTAGTCCCAGCTACTCTGGAGGCTGAGGCAGGATAATGGCATGAACCCAGGAGGTGGAGCTTGCAGTGAGCTGAGATCGTGCCACTGCACTCCAGCCTGGGCAACAGAGCAAGACCCCGTCTCAAAAAAAAAAAAAAATTGAACATATATATTTCTTCAAAATAGTTATACAAATAGATAATAATCACATGAAAATATACACAACATCATTACTTCTTAGAGCAATGCAAATCAAAGCCATAATGGCATGCCACTTCACACATCCAAGGATGGCTCCAGAAAAAGTTGTATGTATCAGGATTTTTTAGTTGTTATCAGTAATGAGTCAATAGTAAGTGCTGATAAGAGTATGAAGAAATTGGGATCTTCATACAATGTGGGTGAGAGCGTAAAATGGTCACTTTGGAAAATATTTTAGCAGTTTTTCAAAAATTTAAATACAGTTACCACATAATCCAGCAATTCCACTTACACTGAAGGAAAGGGAAAACATATCCAGATAAAACTTGCACGTGAATACTTACAGCAGCATTTTTATAACTGACAAAAAGTGGAAAAAATCCAACTATCCATCACCTGTTGAATGAATATATGAAATGAAGTCATTCCACATGATGGAACATTATTCAACAGTGGGAAGGAATGAAGGACAGATACATGCCACAGCTTGGAGAAACCTTGAAAATACTACGCTAAGTGAAAGAGGAAGTATCCACTAATGCTACACATTATTTGATTTTGTATATATAAAATGTCCAGAACAGCAAATCTTTTGAGCCAGTTAGTAGATGAATGATTGTCTACACCTAGGGTTGAATGTGGGGAATGGGGAATAATCGTTAATGAGTATGGGGTTTGGATTTGGAGTGCTGAAACTGTTCTAAAATTATGTTGTGGTGATGGTTTCACAACTCTGCGATCATACGAAAACCCGAGAACTGTGTACTTTAAATGGGTGAATTTTATGGTACATAAATTGTCTCAATAAAGCTGTTTAAAAAGCAAGTCATCATTTTATCCTGCCTCTACCTGTTTGGGATCAGATGTGGTCATTTAATATAATATTTTCTATTCTTCCCAGTAAATGCCAATTGCACATGTAATATGCATGTCATTGGGATCATCATCCTAATCATTGATACATACCGTAAGTTAAAATAAAGTTAATGGCAAAGTTATTTTGTATGCTATTAATAGCCTTCCTCTATGGTATTCATGATTGCTTTTTGTCCATGTTCATTCCTATAGGTAAATCGTGCATCTACTTACTTGTCAGCACTTATTATAAGGCAGGCATTATATTGGATGATGAGTATCCATCTAAGAGAAGATTTAATGCCTACGCGCTGCACTTAAGAGGAAGGCAGCCTGTTACGTGAGCTAGACAAAGAGATAAATCCTGGAAAAGTTGTATCTGTTAGGATTTTTTAATTGTTATCAATAGAAATAAACTCTCACTAACTTCCTTCAAAAAGAAACTTCAATGAAAACTATGGATTACTCACAGTACTGAAGGAAATTTGGAGTAACTAAGGCTTCTAAATGGACAAGAGCCAGAGAAACTCCATGATAAAAGGCAGGAACCAATCAGTGTTGTTTTTGTCAGGCTG